AAAAGGTCTCAGTTTTACAGACGGGGAACCTGAAGCTTAAAAAGAGTTGTTTGACTTCGCCCATGAGTCTGCAGGGTGCCAGTGGCACAGCCTAAATCTCTCAATCCCAGTTCAGCTGCAGGTCTGGAACAGTCTGGCCCCTGCAAGCACTGACAGTAGTTATTATGCAGCTTTCCAAAGGGCTATGTGAGTGGCAAGAAGATTGTTGCTACTGGCATTGTCCTTGGAGCCCTTCTGTGCCAGGAAATGTACGCAGAACATCTTCACCGTCCGGTTTAACCAGGATGACGAGCACCCAGGTCTGAGCACTCGAGCTAGCCTTGTCTCAGTGTGACCAGAGCAGGAGCTGTGTAACCGTGTCCTCCCCATTTCTGCACTTGCCTCTGTGCATATGTGACGTGTCCCATAACTCTCTGTGCCAAGATGCTTAGGGCTCTTTCCCACAACTGCTTGTTTGCCCTTCAGGGAAAACTGTGGGAAAGACAGTGGAAGATTGCCAGCACTTAAGTGATCTTTGACCATATCTTCATTAGGGAGTGAGGAGGTTTGAAAGGTTGGGAAGGGAAGAAAGGGGGGGAAAGAACCCCCAAACTTTCTCTCCCAGCTGTGTAAGCTTGCCATAATGGTTTGCATTTGGTAACTCATGGTGCTGGGTTTTGTACCGAGAAAGCAAGGAGCACTGAGTGTAACTCAGGTTAGTGATGCAGTGGGCACCCACTCTTACAAAGAGCCCCTGCTGTGGCCAACTTCCAACAGCATCTCCTTTGGGATTTCGGTACCTGGGAGAGTAACTTGGAAACGCAGCAAAATTCTGCTCCGTGTCAGTGACAGAGCTTGGAAGGGAACTGAGACATCTTTCCGTGACCGATCCATGAGATCAAGCGCTCTGATCATAAAGCAAAATGCAAATGCAAGAATAAATAAACCTTTCTTAATCCGATCAACCTGGTTATTCTTGAATCCCATAAAATAACTGCCAGTGGGGTTGCTTGAGAAGAGGTTGCTATAAACATGACTTATAAGGAGGGGACATCCAAACTGTGCAACCCAGTGATTGCATTGGCGGTTTTCCAGGATCCCCAGGGGCTGCTGCTAATTGGCATAAAATTAAGCAGGTTGCAGCCACCCTCATTTTTAATACAAAGAGAGGGCCCCCGGGAGGCTACAGGTTCCAGCGTGTGGCCCCTCACATCAAGAAGGAGCACAGCACGCTGGGACGTGTAGTCTCCTCGGGCCTTTTCTTCTTGTTGACAGAGGTCTGGGGAAGCTGCAGGCCACACTGGACACCTTTGCAACTGTTTGACCACCCCTCTCAAAAAAAAAAAAATATCAAGTATGGGTTTGGTTAAGTTCATGGACTGTTAATCAGCATTCACGAGATTTAAAAATAAAAAAAACAACAAACATAATTTCCTCCCTCTCTCCTCTGCCCAGAAGCAGACTACTGGTGGAAACTGAAGCTGGAAAAAATAGTTGAAAGTCAGCTAAAGTCACCTTGGTAACTGCAGCAATACACTTGCCCAGAACAGGAGACATCAAACCCAACTACAAACAGCTTTAAAGAAACAAAAAGAATGTAATCATCTAAAGAATTAATCTGACAACTGCCCACGTTTACACCTCCCACAAGCTCCCAATCAGAGGGAAATGTGCTTTAATCTCCTCCAACTCCCCTCTAGTTTCACAAAACACGAGATGTGCAGTCCTTAAACTGGGGCATTTCCGGCATGCTGCTTCCATTTAAATCTACTGCCTTTCCTAATGCAGCAGCCCTGGCTTTTGCAGACTTGTTTTTTCTGGACACTGAGAAACATGAATTTTTTTGTGTGGGTTGGATGAAGTATTAAATCTGGAATAGACAAAGTTTGCAACATTTTACATGATAGTCAGCTAGATCTTAGTCATAACAAATAAAACTCCACTGGCTTTTGCTGCTGATTTATTTGGTGATGGGGTGGAGGAAGCAAAGGCTTACGGGTAACTGACAGTCGTAAAACCAGGGATGTTAGTGTTAGAAAGCAAACCTTTTTCTACATTTTCTTCTGAGGCTGAAAACTACAAGCTGTGGATGGCAGCGTGTGTTACAACATAAACTTTTTATTAATAACAACCTAGAAGTCCTGCCGACCCTTCATCTGGGCCATCACCCTTTGGAAGGGTCAGCACAAGGATTTCCATTCCCAAAGAGAGAATTTTAATGGGTCTTGCCAAGTCCCGGTGTCATGCAATGTGTTCCAGAGTCTGAAAGTGATGGCACTGTGGCCACAACACATCCAGAAGTTCCCACCGCACAAAACTCTTGGGTATAGAAAGGTGTCGCTTAGATAGAAGGTTATTTGATTTCTACTATTGGAGTTTCACCCTTAACTTTAAATAGCTGAAATTGTGTGAGCTTCACTAAAATGAAACAAGAAAAACAGAGACTGTGACTATTTTGGAAAAGTTTTGTGGAAAGGATTAATAATTTCATGTCACTCAAAGTATTAACTACCATTTTGCTTCACTCCTTCACCTTTTTGACAGAAGGCCTGGTTACTTATTAATGTGAAGTCATAATTATTGACAGCCTTGAAGTCATGACAGTTCCGCTTGATAGTTATACATTAGTCAACATCTTCTCTTGAGTGTGTAATGACAAACAGCATTTGCTGTTTTTAATAAGACTTAAAGCTTTGCCCCTTGCCTCCAGAATATTGTCGTCATTCCTATTATTGCATTAACAACCGGAGGCTGTTTCTCCTCCGGACTGCGGCCCCATTGTGCTAGCAGCTGTACTGGCTAGCATGGTGGAAACCTAAAAACCCACCCTCACCTCAGGGGATTTGGAGTCCAGGGATATGGGGAACTGTCCTGCGGCTGTCTGTCCTTCCGAAGCATGAACCTACAGCAGCGATTACTTGTGAGGTTGCGTTATGGGATGTGCCTGGCACGCTTAGGCAGTCCAGTGAGAAGGGCACAGTCCCTTGTCTGTAGCAATAACGTTGCTGTAAAACTGATCCCCTCCAGGGTGGGTAAACTCTGGAACTGCATTTAACGAGCGCAAGCTTATGGCCTGCTTGAAAATCATGCGTTGCTAATGGCTGACCCTTTTGGTAGGGATTGATAAATGAATGATTGGAAGCTGTAGATTACAGGCTGACTTTCCCACAGCTCACTGTGTATATAAGATCTGATAAGGAAGTTGAGGCAAAGCTTAGCTTAAGGTCAACTGATCATTAATCAACTGTAACTGCACTTCTCAGGTAATCAGCCTGCAAAATGCTGGCCCACTCCACTCTTTGAAGACCCCACCTACAAAGAGCTGTAAAATGTTTGCTGAAGTAGATTAAACACAGCTTTAAGTGCCACCTATAGACTACAAAGCACGTTGTGTCTTTGCTTCAGGGTTAACCCACCAGACTGACGCTCTGCTGACTGTCAGTCCTTCAGCCCACCCTGTTCATAAGCTGTATCCTGACCGACTGTGTCCTTGCTGGGTCCATTATTGCTTTTGTGTGTTGCTAAGGCAGAATATGGGATGCCTTTTACAGTTTTTATCTTGCAGGGAGCTGAGCTGCTCTGATTATTTCTCCTGCATGTCTCTGACCTGGCTGTGCAGAGTATTTTCAGGAAGGCACTGTGAGATATCAGAGTTTAGCTTGTATCCTCATTTCAGAGCAGGCGGCTAAGCAGCCTGGGTGAAAGGCTCACCTGGGACTAGGTGACCTGGTGGAAGCAATAGGCTGATCTGCTTTGGAAGCCGTACTGAACTGTATTAATATGTGTGCAGTGGATGGGAGTAATTTTGGGAGAGCACCCAAATGTAAAATCAAGTAGATGCGTGATCTAAGTCAGCTTGTGAGGGTCAAGCTGTTTCTTTACAATCATTTCTAGATGTACATTAAAGGTGGCTCCATTTGGGTGGAGGAAGGATCCAGGCTTAACAGCGTTCTCAAATGGAGCCACGGCTTGCTTTGGCTTTTGGTCTGTCTGGCACGATGGAACCACATTGCAGTGTGGCATCACTCAGTTCTCTCCTGCTCTGCCTGTTCCCCTCCTCTGGTGATTCTGTACTATAGTTTCTATAGTCTTAACAAAGTCTTGCCTTTATTAAGTTCATGTGGAACATCAGATGACAAGAATATAAATCACATATCAGACACATCACATCGGTCCATGTCATCGCAAAAAATTGTAACCACCTCGTCCTTCATTCTTTGTCCTGGACTATCAAGTAAAGGATTATGCTGATGCTCTTTGAACATATAAAGTGTTTATGGTCAAGTATTTTGAGATATACTGGTTTGATTATCTAGAGGATTCCATCTGGCAAAGTTCCTGATCATGTAACAACATAACCTTTAGTCGTAGCTTCACAATACGCTGGTCTTGGAGAAATTAATAAGAAAGCAAAGCTGCATTGTCTTAAAGCAGCCCCACTTACAAGGGAAAACAATCTATGGATGTCCTACTCATCACATGTAGAGTCCATCTTTTGGCTGTTGCACTTGATGCTGATAGAAGCAGAGGGTTCTCAAAACCTTTTGGTTCAACCGTGCAAAGAAATGATTTGGAGACAATTGTAGGGATGCCTCAGACCTCAAAGATATTCGAGCAAGGACACAAGGGCAACTCTTTCCTGCAGATATAGCAAAAGCAAAAGCTGGAGGGAGGGCGGGCACACCTGGTAATTCTTCCAAGCCAAGCCATTTTATAGTGGTTTGGGGTTCTGGAGAGTGTGGTTTTGCTCCAGAAGCTTTATTTCTTGTATGCTGGGAAGGGATGCACCATGTGTGTGCACCAATTCAGATCCTAGGTCATCACATCAATGTGAAGAGCTGCTTGCTGGGACTGGTAGTCTGAGGGAGGCTGTGTCTCTGTAGGGGTGATGAAAACTCAGATACGTCTTCATAACAGTTTGCTCCTGTGTCCTTCAATGTTCGCACAATCGCTCTGAATCGCAGCAGAAATAGCACACAGCACTGGGATCCTAAATACGTGCATCTTGTCTCTTTGCTTAGAAGCCGTAAGGACAGTTTAGAAAGCGAGAGCTCAGCAGCTATCATTCCTCATGAGCTAATCCGCACGAGACAGCTGGAGAGCGTACACCTGAAATTTAACCAGGAGTCCGGAGCACTCATTCCCCTCTGTCTAAGGTGAGTGAAGCCGTCCTCCTCCTCAGCTTGTGCTAACATGCCGCTTTTGCATTGTGGCATTGTTTCACCATACAGACATGCATGCAATGGGTCTTTAAAGGCCAGAGCTGAGATATTTTGCCAAAACACATTAGAAACAGATGATTCTTTGCATGTGTGCTCATCGTGGTAAGGTTGTTTCTCATTCTTTTTATGTCCTCCAGTGTATTTTGAGTGCTGAAACAGGACAGGGTTAGTATAGAGGGTTTTTATTGGTCTAATGCTGGCAACTCTGTGATAAAGAAGGGATGTCTTAACATACTCTGTCAAAGAAATACCTTAAGTTGTAAATTGTGACTTACAGACTCAAGACACAAGTAGCTGTGCAAAACCTGTTTGCAGTCAGTTTATGCATGCAAGTGTGTTTTTTAGACAAATTATGTCACTTACATGACTGAAGGAACATCACCTTGTGTGCATACTCTACACATTGTCTTTTGAAGGCTCAGGCTGTGCATACCACTGTAAGTGACTTTTCTAGGTTTCCACAATTTCAGTCAGCACTAATTTTAAAAATACCTGTGGCAAACATTGTAGTCTTTAACATAAAGATGAACTGTCAGGTAGAGACAACTGATTGTAGGTGATTTAGTTACTTTAGCTTAATGAGTCTGTAGTATCAGAGTTATCACACTTGCCTGTTGAGAAACCAATGGGATAGTTAACACGAAGATATTTTATTTTACATCACAAATGTGTGAACAGTCTGTCCTGATCAGTTACCACAGCACAGTTGACCAGCAGTAACTCATCAAGCAACTGTGACTCTGTTAGACACTATATATCTCACCTGAAATTTTCCCCCTTGCATGTTGGAAGCCATGTATGCGTGTCATGTGCTCTGAGCCTAAATGCCAGAGCCATGATTTTCCCTGTGGAAAGCACTGAATGAAAAAAGGGAAGTGTTACCATAGATGGCCATGTATGCATATTTTCTAGGCATTTGCTTAAGTAATACATTACATTTGTCAAGAACAAGGGCAATGGATTACTAGGTATTGTCATGGTAGGTAAGTTTGGCCCCACTGATAATCCTGCTTAGAAAGGCATCTTCACATTCCTACATGATGTGGAGTCTGGATTCTTTTCTGCAGTTTTCATCTGACTGAAAGACTGGCAGTCCCCTGCCCTTACACACATCAGCACCTCATCATGGGGATAGGCATGCAGTGGGATTTAGATGCGTTCTAGTTCTGTAACAAGGCCCTGAGATTAAGGAGGAACTGCTTGCCTCAGAAGGAGGCTTGTGACCTGCTTTGTGGAGCAAATCATTCATATATTCCTGAAAAATTAATAGTTGCTGCCTTCAAAATGGTTTTGCATGCTGATGGCAGAAGCTATAGTGATAGATCTTCATCATTCTGTTGAATGCTGCTCACACCCTCTCAGTTCACACACATATGTTTTATTCCCCAGGGGAAGGCTCTTACATGGACGGCACTTTACATATAAAAGTATTACAGGGGATACAGCAATCACATTTGTATCAACGGGAGTAGAAGGAGCCTTTGCTACAGAAGAGCACCCCTATGCAGCACATGGACCTTGGTTACAAGTGAGAAAACCTCCTTCCTTTTTTTGCCCCTTCCTCCTTTACTGTGTCCTAAAAATGATCCTGCTAAGGGCTTACATGGTTTAAAAGTGTAGCAAACCTGTATTTTCTGCTGCAACATCTCTCATAGCTCTTGTGTAATATTTTCAGTAATTATGGACTCAAAAAATAATGGTGAACTGTTACTATTTATATTAATGGAACTCAAATTGATAAGCAGTGGCTGGAAAATTTAAAAATCATCTGTGAATACAGTAGTGTCCATTTCCTGGAATCAGCGGACACTTTACAGGCTGTATTTACTCTTGATTTCTTCCAGAGAGGAATTTGGGGAGGCAGAGTGGAATGACCTAAACAAGAACGGAGCCAGGGCGGAAGAGCTAGAAAGCTGTGGGACTGTGATCCTACAGAGCCAAGATCTCAGTTTTACATCATCCCTAATAGGAGAGCAGCACAGAGAGCACAGCTTCTTTCAGTTTTCACTCTTTTCTATTGATTCTTTGACAAAAGCTCGTGGTTACTTGAAGCACCCACACATTTTCTGCACCCAGATTTTTTCAGTATCACAGATTTTCCTTGAAACTCCCCATCTGTTTGGTGCTGAGGGTCAGCCCCACGGAGCAGTGATGCACTAATGATATGATGGCGTAGCGGTGTTCCAACCTTGAATTTCTTATGGTTATAAACATATTGCAAAAATAAAAAAGCTTTGGGGAATGTGTTTATGCAGAAAAGGCCATTTCTGAGGGACTATACGCATGCAGTACATCTCTGCCTTTATTCCTGCCTCCCCTTCTGTTTTGAACGCAGGGGTTTGTTTTAGCATTGCAGTGTTGCAGTTAACCTTCTAGTGACTTGTTTTCAAGGCATTCCACTGCCCATATTCATATGTCTGGAGGACATCATACCTTGAAATCTGTATGACTTGTAAAGGAGCTGATCTTGGCTAGAATCATCTTGTATGTATGGACTTTCAAAGAGCTCGAGTGCTTTGATTGTACTGACTGGAAAGTGCAACTCTCCTGTAATGATTAACAGCAAATGGTCAGGTTTAAGGGTGGGTCATTTGCTGTTGGTTCCTGTGCTTGCCCAACACGATACACAGGATCTTGTGACTGTGTTAACTCCAAACATAAGAGTGTTTGTTTGCATTTACATCACATCTCAAAATTTATTGATGTGTAGAGTAGTCAGGTAACTTCTAAACAGTGAAAAATGGCAATAATTAGGTCACTATTCAGACATGTAACTAATATTAACCCTTTTGAACCTGTTTGCTTCCATGCCTGCTGAAAATTATGGAAGTTTTTTTGGAGGAGATGGGAGGAAAGATGGAGAATTGCTGGCTTCTGAGGGGTAAAGAGAAGCAAGTTCCCTCTTTTGTCTCCTAGACGAGGTCAACTTATTGGATCTTCTCATGTGATGTGACTGGCTCTGCCGCTGGCTCCTGCCCTGTCCTGTGATGAGAATGAAGGAGGAGAAGCTGGGTGGGGGAGGAAGGGAGGCTAAAAGCAGCCTGGGACAAGAGGAGGAGCGTCCAGCTGTGTGAGATACATGTGGGAGTGTCTGAGGCTCTTGGCTTACTATGCAATGGGAAGCTTGATCCGTGCTCAGCAGTCCCTTGTGGTGTTGGGAGTGGAGGAGGGAGGTTCATGTGGCTTTGCTTCAGAAGTAAAAGAAGTTGTGGTGCATAAAATTTCCAAGGGGGCAAGCTGTGTTTGGTTTAGTCCTTTGCAGCCTGGGCTGGCTGAGTTGGCAAGCCCCGCAAAGCTTTTCACAGCAAGGCCCAGAGAGGATTTTCTTCCTCCCTCGCTTGGGACCCCAGGCACAACGATGAGCTCCAAGGAGAGTTGGCAGCTGAAAGCAGATCACTGCAATGCAGGGGCTTGTTGCAAAGACAAGTAAATGGATGGACCATGGAGAGGAGGAGAGGTGGCAGGCATGTCCTCCTGTGGACTTTTTGTCTTTCTGAGAGGAGGAATAAGAGCCTGAAGAATCCTGGCCTCGACTCTGCAGCAGCCAGAGAGTGACTCCTCTTGAGCCTGAGCTTTGGTACAGTGAAAACCCAAACCTGCAGACTAAACACAGTACCTCCTGTTTACATCTCGTGGGCTGGAGCGGAGCGTGTCCAAGGTGGGACAGGCCAGAGAGCTGCTGCACAGTCTGTCAGCCCCCGCTTGCCCGGACTGAGCAATGAGCTGAGAGTCGCTGGGCTCCCGTGGAGGGCTAGCAGATGACAGGAGTTTGGCAGGTCCCAGCACCGTTCCTACCAGACAGGTGTCCATATCACCACCGCAGCTGGTACTCGGCGGGAGCCGTTTTAGCAGTCTCAGCAGAAAAGGCAAGGAGTCATTAGACCACGGAGATTGTACGCCCCGTTTCTATCAACAGTCTTTCCAGGTCACGTTTGAGGCATGTTAGTAGGGGAAGCCTGTCCTGCTGCTTCCCATGCTCTGGGGATGATTAGATTATTTCATTCTCTAGAGCTGTCAAATTGGCACCTTTCCCAAGTACTTGGAATTTTTTTTTTTTTTTCATTTAAGTAACATTTAATTAGTTCTAAGAAGCTAAATTCTATTAAAGGTCTAAGCATGTCAGGCTGGTTTATTTCTGAACTTCTTCCACTGTGTCATGTATTGTTGAATAGGGAAATTACTTTGACTCAGAAATGTACAAACATATTCAAGAAGTCCTCCTTGTTAACACTAGAGTCCTGTTTATATGCTAGTTACTGTGGCAAAGTCTCTGATGTGTAACACTTGCATTAACATTACACATGATCAAAGGCTTCCGTGGTTCTTTCTTCCACTCCCCCTTCCCCCAGTGCTGTGACAGCAGAGCCCCCACACTGCTGCCTAAGCACCTCTTCTCTTCTTTCAAGGGGTAGATGTTCCAGATTCACAGAGAAAGGCTGTGCAGGAGGTGTCTGGCCCCGTGTTGGAGGGTTAAGGATGCTGATGATGCAGACAAGACACTGCCTCACAGTGACATGCGTATTCGTGGTGGAGTGTCCAAAGTTCTTGGTCCAAAATCTGAGCTGTGCCAAGCATGCAGTTAATCACAGATCAGCCTTGTTTGTCTCTTAAAACCTACCCAAAGCAAGGTGAGGTTGAGTATGTGTTCTCCCTCCCTCCCTTACTTAAGTTCCGGCAGATGATAGAGACGCTCTGTTGAAATGTGTTACTGATCAAGCCCGTCCCAATAAAGTTGCCTGAGCCTTTAATACATATTAATATTATCCTGGGGTAGTTTGTGTCAAAGCCTGTCAGCATGCATCATCCTTTGGGAATTACCATCGTTAAGTCTCCAGTGATGGGAGTCAGGACATGCTTCTGCAAAGCTCCTCTGCTTTTATGTGGAGCTCTCTGCCCATCTAGCACAAAGCAGACTGTTCTCCCCTCCTACCTCGCTCACCTGGACTGCTTACTCTCCCCAGAGGGGAGAAGGAGGTTTCTTTAACGCTACCTTTAGATAATTTCTGCTCCTGCTGCTTTAGGCAGTCATTGTTCTAGGGAAGATGACACTCAAGTCTTTGATCATGTGCAACGTACATGTTACGCGTCAGATATTGCTGCAGACTCTGATATACGAGCCAATACAGTGCAGTAAAAATAAACCTATAGTTAGAGTCCTTGTTAACTGCAAAATCAAGCACACAGAATTTAAGAAATATCTGAACAACAGTCTCTGCACTTTAGCCTTGCCCCTGTTAGACTTGTGTATTTTGATACCATATCTAATTGAAGGATCGTATCTATTTTTTACAAAGCATGCCTGCCTCATTCAGTGCACAAAGATGCAACGTGTTTGGGGCATGAATCAGGAGTGTGGAGTAAAGTAGACTCTTGCCTATAGGACTTCCACTTCGTTTGTTTGTCAAATTAGAAGGTGTGCAGTGAATGAGGCAGGTAATTGCAGAAAAATCACAACAGTCTTATGGTGAAGCCAGTTAAATGTTGCCCTGGAGAATTGGATCCTGTTCCTGCCTCTACTACTCTGTTGTTTCTCGATGCTGTTCCAGAGTCTTAAGCTAAAATGTTCTTGGGTGGCAACTGAGTTTGTGTTCCTCGTTTTCTGGATGGCCAGCTCGAGACCTGAGGTCCCATCTGTGTTCCCAGTGGCAGGAGGAGCCCAGGAGAAATTCATTCCTCTGTGGGTACCCCTGTGTCCTGCAGCGCTGAGTGGGTGGAAAACAGGGACCTGCAAGTCTTGAGACAGGCACCCACAAGAAGTGGACATTCAGATTCTGTTTTCTCTCCACTGATTTTCCTGTGTCTGTTCACGAAAACCTTCTTCCAGTCACCCTATGAAGATTAATTCAGAACTTGCCAAGCATTCCAGCTCCACAAATGAGCACCAGAAACAATTTCAGGAAGAGATTAAAATTCATTCTTGTAGGTCAGGAGAGAAAAAGAATCTCTCTGGGGTAGGAGGTCAACCTGGGAGTCGAAGACCCATGTTCAGCTCCATGCTCTTGCAGATTTTCTCTGTGACTTTGTTAGGTCTCAGCTTCTTTTAGCCTCCCTCCCCCATCTGCTGCATGGAGAGGAGCGCTTCCCTGCCTCACGGAAAGGCGAGGCTGAGCACGTCAGAGGCTGTGAGAGTGGTAAGGACAATACGATTAGGTACTTCCAGTGTAATCCATGCTGGCAGTAGTCGGATGGAGTGTACTAAATAAAGGGGAAGAGAGTAGGAGGGAATGGAGAAACAACTTGAATGATAATGAAAAGAAAAGAAATGATGACTAATGCTGCATTCAGTGAGCAGAACCATCCTGAGGACTGAGCAGGGCAGAGGTCCTGTGGGAGAAAAATGGCAGGCGATCCTGTGATTACAGATTTGTTTCGTGAGGCAGACATACGCTCGGGCCAAATTAGCATGGTGCAGGCAATCTCTACAGCCATTTCCAAAGTTTTGTATGCCTGATGTCGCTGGTCTCGGAGTGTAGAGGGGTTTTTTTCCAGGTAATTTACTCAGTTTCATAATGAATCCTGTTAGGCAGA